ATTTGATGTTGTTTTGCTGCTTTTATGTTTTTATGTAAAGTGTCTTTGAGTATTTAGAAAAGCGCTTATAAATAAAATGTATTATTATTATTATTATTAGTAGTAGTAGTAGTAGTATTTACCTCAATATAAAATAGGTCCCTTAAGGAATATAGGTTGGGACTGACTTACACTCCGGAGCAGAAGATGGCGATAATGCACCAATAAGCTGATGCCTGCCGCCATTAAACAACAAGAAAAAAGAACCAGCGGTGGGCCATTGTTTCCTGCTGCGTTCACTGACACCGAGGAGGTGAAGTCGGGGTTTGTGGCGCACAAAAAGTGAGGAATATGCGCTCACTTGTCGGACTCCTCTGTGTTATCACTGCAGCCAGCTTGTACCTGTACTCACTGTCCCTCTACCTTCCTGCGGGACCCCGACGACGACCTCGTCCCACCGCCGAGGGGAAACATGTGGAAACATCGGAGTCCGAGCAGCCCGCTGACAGCTCTGAAGAAGACAGCAGGTGACTGACTGCGTTAGCTTTTAGTCAGAGTAAATAAAGTCTATACGTTATTAAACTCGTATAAATATATCCACTGTATTTTAACAGGTGTTTTTTTTTTAAATGGTTAGCATTGCTCAGCCAGTGTCTCCTTCATACACAGATATACAGATAACAGCACAAGCAGCATGTGACAATAACAGTAGATAACTAACAATAATGCATTATGTTTATGGTGTGGCGTTAAATGTTCACATTGAGTCTGTGTAATAGCTACTTTATACAGCTGTTTAACACAGTAATGGATGAATGAATGAATGAATGAATATTATTTCAGCTACTCTATAAACACAACTCTTTCTGCTCAGGCTAGACGAATTAAATTATTGGTCGACAAAGCTGTAATTAATCTTTATTTATGCATGATGTGACTATAGCAATATTTTATACATGAAATAAGATAGGGCTGCAACTGTTTCATTATCACTTAATTCGCCATTAATGTATCCATTAAGTTAAGTAATTGTTAAGGTCTCTAAATTGTGAAAAATGTCCATCATAATTTCATAAAGCTTAAAACCTAAAGTTGAACAGTTTACAATAACACAGAACAAGGGAGTGATTTTGTATTTTGCTCCAGAAAAAATACTAATTAATTATCAGATACATCTTCAGATTATTTTTCTTTTTTAATCATTAAATTTATTAATCAACTAGTTTTATTTCTAGTAAACAACGATGAACAAATATGAACAAACATTTAAGAAATACTTCCAACTATCAATCTGTTCAAAATACTGACTATTTGATATATGATTTTGTATTTGTTAGTCAATACTGACATATATGTGATTACAGTATCTTTAGTCCATATTTCCCAACCCTGTGTGTTCATGAAAGAAGAGCAGACGATGTAACTAACTTGAGTGCGGTTGTTCTCACAGGTTGAAGTTCCCTTCAGACTTGGAGGAGCTGAGGGAACTGGCCGAGCTCCTGCAGTTTTACAAGACAGAGCACACTGGATATGTCCTGCTACTCTTCTGTAGTGCATATCTCTACAAGCAGTCCTTTGCCATTCCTGGATCCTCGTTCCTGGTAAGGTAAAAAATAAAGACGAAAAAAGTCTTAGATGTTCTCTGTACTGATGCTGGATAACAAGGCAGAAACAGTGGATGTTGATATTATTTTTGTTGAGTCTGTTAAAACATGATTAAAGCATTTTTTTTATTAATTCGTCACAGCATTGTTACACGTTCGACAGAAAAACTGTCACACCTACGCTGGTAAAAAAGGCTTGCATGCTAAAAATAAAAAAAAGGCACTTGACCTGTATGTGGCGTGCGGCTTGGATCTCTTCTTTAAAGACACACTGCGGAGGATAAAAATATTCATTCAGCATATAGTCAGGCATGCTGGACTTCCCCACTTACTTTAGTTTAATCTGCACAACTGCGTGTTCATTACAGAACAGAGAAACAGCCTCAGCCACACACCACATGCTGGTTACAGTTATTGTCACCCAACATCTCGCCTTTAAAACCACTGTAAGACCACAGAGTGTTTCTCTCTTTTACAGGAAGAGACACAGTAGGTCTGTATGTTCAGAGCTGATCGTTACAAAGGTGTTAATGATGTCTAGTAACCGAGGCCTTCTCCACTTGTCGTTGTGCAGAACATTCTCGCAGGAGCTATATTTGGACCATATGAAGGACTGCTTCTTGCCTGTGTTCTCACCACCGTGGGCTCCACCATGTGCTACCTCCTGTCTCGGGCCTTCGGGAAACGCTACATTGTTAACCTATTCCCTGATAAAGTGTCCATGCTGCAGAGGAAGGTAAATTTGTGACACATGGCGAAAAGAATATTGAGACTGTTTATGCAATAAAAGTTCAACTGTTGACTTTATCCACAAAACTGCAAAATATATCTTAATACATCGAAACATAATCCCCTGTCTCAACAGCCACAACTATCAGTGACAGAGAAAATGATTGTACACATACACTCAATGAAAACCACTTATCCTTGCGATTCTTCTTGTAAAATCTTTAAGAATATGTGGTGTAAACCTTCACAGGTTTTACCACCTCTCCTAGGATGTGTTATGGACTAATATCTCATGATTTAGTAGGAAATACGACACCTATGTGAACGGGAAGTGATGCTACGTACTAAGAATGAATCGGAGACTTAATTGAATGCCTCCATTGAGATATAAAGTTATATTTTCCTGACCCGAGAGCTCTACTTACACATGTAATTGTGTGGGTTTTTTTTTTTATCTGATTCTATAACAAGGTCAAATGTGATGATTCGTGTCACATTGCTGCCAGACCTGTTTTATAGCTGCCAAAGTTATCAATGTTCAACCTAATGCAGCACCTCTTTGTAACTTTATTGTTGTTACTGTCATTTGACACTTTTATTACAGTATCAGAAACCAGTGTGGCAAACATTGACACAAATTACAGAAAGAAAAGTGCATCTACTGTCCTTTCATAGACTGTAACGCCTCATTTAACATCTCATCTTTATCTCACAGGTTGAGGAGAACCAGGACTGTTTGTTCTTCTTTCTGCTCTTCCTGAGATTCTTTCCCATGACACCCAACTGGTTTCTGAACATGTCTGCCCCGATTGTCAACATCCCCATCACCTTCTTCTTCTGCTCAGTCTTCATTGGTGAGTGCATGTAGATCGCCTCATTTGTGGCTCTTTGGAGCTTTCAGTAAATTATATAATGACACACACACAGACCATTTTCCATTTTTAGTTCCCCCAGATAAATAATGTAAACACTAAATGGACTAAATCAGTAATGAAAAGGCCATTTAAAGGTTGGTCATGTTTGCAGGTTACATGCCAATTAATATGACCCTGGAGTTGTTAGTTTCTACATGTGACTCTGACATTTGTGAATGATTCAAAGCAACAGGTGGCAATTAACAAAGCTTCAAAGTACAGATTGCCAGACCTGTTTTTAGTTATCATTCAACCAAATGCAGCTCCTCTTTGTACCAGCATTTGTTATTCTGTGTCTCCAGATTTAAAGTATCTATTGCTTTGTCCTATTTTTTACAAATTGACTAAAAAAACGCATAAATTCAAACAAAAATACCAGAGCATTTCTCTCAAAACTGCAAATAAACCCTGTTATAATGCTACGGCTTGTTCTTGATCTTCTGTCTGCTTTTGTAGGCCTCCTGCCATACAACTTCATCTGTGTCCAGACAGGCGTCATGCTGTCTGAGGTGTCTTCGCTGGATGATTTGTTCTCCTGGGAGCGGCTGCTGCAGCTGCTGGCCATCGCCTGCATGGCTCTGCTGCCCGGCGCCCTCATCCGCCACTTCAGTCAGAGGCGTCTCAAACTGGACGTGCAGCCGCAGAACGGCCTCATCCCAGATAAGAAAGTCCAGTGATTTGTTCTGGGATTGAGTTTGTTCCCTGGCGCTTTGATGCCCCTCGTGTGGCGACTCTACAGAAAACCTTTTGTGCGCACACATGTGAAAAAAGGTTTATTTTTAACTGGTGTGCTCTACATTTCTGCAGCCACCTGGCGATGTAATTGCAGCTTTTAGAAAAATAAAGCTGGCAGTTCAGTATGGCACAGTGGGATTTGAAGCCAAGTATTTTGTGTTACCAAACACTGGTGTTTCTGTGCCACAGCATGCACAGTATATGTATATAGATGTATGAATGTACAGTAATCATACGGATTGAGTGAAGGATTTTAAGGTAATGTTGCTCTTGCACTCGTGGTACAGTAATAGTCCTGCTTCAGTGTAAACAGCCGGTGTTTTAAGTGCCTGTCATGCAGTCAAATGTCTACCTCCAACATGGAAATGTAAATATAATGGTTCAGATGATTAGGGATTGTTTGTGTTTGTGAAACACTAACTGTTTGCAGCATATATTGTACAACCTGAAGTTGTATTTTTGTTGTTTGACAATCACATTTTGCAGTTTGGAGGACAATTTGTACTATTTTTCAATGTGTTTAAATTGTGTAATTTAGAGACCAGAGTTTGACCTCAAGAGTGCCGCGGTCGGGAATAATTGTAGGTAATCGATTAAATTACATTAGGACTTTTGTGAATAAGTGTCCATGTCTCTTTTACTGTGTCAGGATCTCTAATCAGTCAGTGTGAGGCCTCTGTTAAATTGAGCCTTAATATTGATTTGAAATCTTTCTCTTTGCTGCCTCTTTGTACGGTCCATGTGTCTTTTGTACAGTTCTGGTCCAACAGCATATACCCTGCACAAAGTGTTATTTTAAAACTCTTTATGTTGGTTAATATTTTAAATGATATGTCAGCTTTCTGTTTCCTTAAAGATGTAATTCACAATTTGGCTGGTATATTTGTGGTATGTCAGGTCACAAATGATGTGGCACCTTTTTTATTTCAGAGGTGAAAAAAAACTTTGAAATAATAAAACAAAGGTGAAGTACTATTTTTTTCAAATATTCTTTATTGCTCAGATCCAGGTTGCTCAGCAATACAGTTCACTCACAACTCAAAACAACAGCATGGCTGTTACCAGAAAGGCATGGATCCACGAGATGTACTAAAAATGGATCATATGTCTGTCCAGCGCACAGTCACCGATTACCTTGAGGTGTTTGGGACCTTTTGGCCCGTGGGAAATGTAGGACTTGAGGGTTTTGACCTACTGAGGAAACAAAAGGAATCTCCCAAATGGTGAAATGCAGTTAAGAAATGGATCCATGTAAAACCACTACTGAAAGTCTAGTGCTATATGAAGTGTAGTACATACTGGATCGCCTACAACAGTCTCATGCAATGCTTTGTGTTTTCTTATTTAATAACAAGACAGGACAAAAAACACTGCTGTGGTTCTGCATACATCCGACCAGACTTTACTAAATCCTTCCTCAGCTAATCCATAATCATTTATATTTTTTTGGATGGTTGTTGAATGCCCTCTTTTCTGTTCAGTCCCAAAGGCAGAACAAGTTTGATCAGCTTTTGTTTAATCAGACCTGGATACTCTTGTCAAACCTCCTTCTTTTGCATGTCACAGAATTATTTATTTTGCCTTTCGATTCCCAAATCAGTTCAAAATCCTAGCTAGGATATTTGTCAACCACAATTTAACATGTAGTATTATTGGTAGTGATCTAAAAAGGAATGAATATTAAAGCAAAGAATCCCAGCTAATGCTCCAGACTACATTATTAAATCAGTGTAAATGACGAGAAAACCAGATCAACGGAAAACAAGAAAAAAAAAAAGCCTAAACTATCTAACCACCATGTGATATGACTAACAACACAGTACACCCTCAGTGATGTGTGTAATTGTGGTTTTTCTGGTACTGAATATTAATGTCTAGCAACACCCCACAAAACCTAGAAACACCAATCCTTGGAAGTAAAATAAAAAAGGTTACTATCATCTGGACAAGTTTCAACCTCAGATTGCGGTTGGCTTACAGATGTCTCGACGACCATGATGCTCTGCTGACAACACCACAGTGAAACCGAACCAGCTGGAGGGAAACCTGCACTTAACTGTATAAAGAGCCAAAAACACAAGAGAGACAGAGGTATGAAGAGTCCTCTGCAATGCAAGAAAATAGCCTCAACTTCAAAACTGTTCTAAAAAAAAAAAAAAAACTTCTTCTACTTCTGACAGTCAAACAAAACCATGAATGACAAACTACGATTTCCAGTGCTACTGTGAAAAGCCGTTTTCTCCACGACATACCCTACTACAGTGAAGAAGACCACCACAGGAGTCATGCGTTTGAGTAGAAGCACCTTACTGCATTTGTGTGGGTGAGGTCAGGGCATTTGAATCAGGTCTGGTGAGCTATCATCATCATCATCATCATCATCATCATCATCATCATCAGTATGAGGTACTGTACCGGCTGTGGGGAGGCTTGCTGAAACAGCCTCAGGCATTGTGTGAGTTTGATAGACCTTTTATGTTTTAATTTAGCACTGCTAGTCTGTGTTCACTGGGACAAAAAAAAAAGTATCTGCCTCATCTGATGACAAGTCTGCCCGTCCAAAAAGTAAAATAACAAACAAAACAAAAAAACAATCAGCTCTCAACAGTTAAAAGAACTCCAAAGACAAACACTAACTTTCACTATCATCATACATTTATTTAATTCTTTTTTTCCCTACATCGGTTTTAGTAACTAAAGTCAGCCTTGGATTCTGAGAGGTAATTCTGAAATGTACAGCACAAAAAAAAATTAAAATTAAAATAAATTCGGTAGATTTGATGAGAAAAACCATTTAGAGGTCAGTTTTGAGGGAAGCTGTGACACTCTAAACTTCTCCCACCATCTCTCACAACGCAGGTGCAGACTGGTAAGTGTTATAGAGAGACAGAAAACGATGCATTCATGTGTGACTCTATTGTACATGTTTACAGATATACAGTTATCTTGTCGTACACAGTGACATTTCAACGACTAGACTAGAGTTGTTCTACATTCTACACAGAAGACTAGGGTTTTACACCATGTTCAAGAGTCCTGTCAGTGTATTTTTGCAGCTTCGTGTTTTTCTTCAAATCAACCCCAGAGTATGCTGTTATCAAACAGAGCTGGTAAGATTGAATTGGGTTGTTATAAATGTTTTTTTTTTTCACAAGTGAATAAACTTCATTTTTTGTTTGTTTTTTTAAAAGTCTAAAAAAAAAAAAAACCTGGAGGTACTGTTGGGAGGAAACAGGGAGGCACGTGGGTTCGTTTCTGTTTTATATCAACTGACTTGTATCCTTTCCTTTCTTTTGATGGTGAAATCAGTACACAACATCCACATTCAGAACCACTTCGGGCAGGTATGTACCCCCTAGATCCTGCTCTTCATTCCTTTCTACCAGAAAAATGGACTTGGAAATCCTTTGACGTGTATCATTAAGAGGTTGTATGGCGTCCAGGTAAAGACAGTCCAACAGAGTTGACTACGGTTTACAAAGTTTCACTAGTCGGCTGGACCTGAAGAGTTTAGAGATTTACTGTAGATCTTTTCTCTTGTTCTTTTTTTTTATTAAAAAAGAAAATTAAAAACGCTCAAAATGATCCGTTAACAAGGCATACAAAATGTGGAAAAAGGGGAAATGAAAGATTGGACTGAGGTACCCTGAAGCCTGAGGTAGATCACAATACTGACATGCGCACTGTTCACATCCTGACCAAAGTTAACGCGGTGGTTCACTTTACTGTTCTCCTATTTTTTCAGGTTTTTATTTATATTATTATTCATAGTCTAGTTTTCAAGAAAATAAACACTTCCCTTCAAAACAATATGGCAGTGTCCCACTGAGGAAAAAAAGAAAAGGACTTTGTTTTCTTTTTGTTTCTTATCAATAGCTCTCATCACAAAATAGGAAAAAAATAGATTCATAAATATTACTCTCTCTTTTTATATATATATACACACACACACACACGGAAGGAAGCTTTGCGTATTGGCAATAACCTTGCGTCTGGAAGATGAAGCTAATGGGTGATGTCTGAAAGGTGACAAATTAAGGCAACAAGCTTCCACGGTCTCCAAAGTAAAGCACAAAGGGGACACCGGGGACCTGCGTGTCCAGCGTGCTCGCAGGCCGGCTGGCCAGCTCGCCAAAATGTTAAACAGAAAAAAGGAAAAGTTGAAAGAAAAAGAGCGAGAGTGAGAATGACATCTGTGTGTCTGTGCCTCTGGCCGGCTGCTGGACACGGCAGGTGGTGTATATTTCTAAAAAGGCGCATATCGTACATTCACCAGCTGTCATGGCATTTTAGAAAGCTCCCTGACAAGAAGAGGGTTACAGCCAACGGCGGCTGCGGCTCACGTTTGCGGTTGTGCCTGATGTACCCACAGGTCATCACAGTGGCCTCCCCCATCCACCCCAAACCCCCCACCCTCTAAACCCCCAAAAAATTGCCTCATTGCCACTCCCAACACACCATCGCAGTCTGCACCCCACCATGCACACACCCACCCACCCACCCTTAACACGTTTCCCCTTTCTGGGTCCTCAGCTCACAGGTTGTGTGGGCCCTCATGACGTCCTCATAAGGTAGAGCGTGTGTGGTGGTGCACATTCAAAATGACTGGTCGCTTGTTAACAAGCAAAGGTGCACCATTTTTTTTAAGACGTCAATTTTTTGCTCTGATCGTAGTGGAGAATGCCTTTAGAGACATCCCTTTTGATTTTTTTTTTAATATATCAGGATAACAAGCATGACTGTAGATATAGTCTACTCTACAGCATGGGAGAGTGATACCAGTTTACTGGTAAAATAAAATAAATCCCTCTGTGGCATTTAACCTCTGTTGAGCGAAAGTGGCAGTCAGTTCAATGTTATCAAAAGGCTACAGAAAAAAAAAAGTGTTTCTCGACAACAAATATTTTTATCCTATTAAAAAAAACGAGATGCCAGATGAGAGAGAGTGATGAGAAAGTGAAGCAGTAATTAGCAGAAAAGAAAGAAGAAAAAAAAGGAAAAGTGTAGCATCAGCTATGAATGGTGAGAGACATTTCAAAGGGAAGTTATCTTTTGCGTTGGCACACACACAGGCTCATTACAAAGACTCAGAACCATTCACCATATTTACTTATAGGGGTTTTCTTTTTGATTTCAGTGGCCTATAATGTGAACAAACAAAGGAAACCGCTTTATGTGGCTGCCACAGCCCAATCAATCTCTGGAACAAGCAAAATATTAAAAACTACACCAAGCCGCACTGTCATTTTGACAGCGCGTGCTCTCAGTGTGTATCAATATACTTTTCTACTCTGTATTAATACTGCTAAGGATAATCTCGCAATCTGAATATCATCTCAAACTCTGGTGAGAGAAGGTGTCCATTGTCACTCGCTCTCGTTTCTAACTCAAAATATCAATCACAATGCCTCGTATACTCTCGTGTTAATACAGTTGCTTTATCCGTTTGTTAGGCCTATGTTAGTCCAACTTAAGAGATAACATTATGCAGGGCGACATACTATTTTCTGTTTGCCTTTTTAACTGCGAAGACAACAGTTTCCACCTTTCTTAAAGATTTTTTTGGTCTTTTTATTATATTATATCAGTACGGTTTCTCCCACTCTATCTGCTCTCACAGGGCTGGCAGTGCACACAATGCCCTCAGCCTTTGGCTCTCACTTGTTTCCCCCCTAGTGAAGTTCTTTGGTTTTGATCGGTGCTGCTGGTCTGCCCTGCATGTCCCCCTTGGCCTTGGCCTTTGTCTGGGTAGGTCTCTGTCCGTTTGGGAGGGCTACATTCATTGGCTGGTGCCCGCTGGAGCCACCCCCGCTGGTCACTTGGAGTGGTGTGGTGACACGGCGGCGCCATGCTGGTGTTTCTGTTCCTGCTGTTTGACCTGCTGAATGATCTCCCGGATCTTCCTCTGTGCAGTCTATTGGAGAGACACCACATGCAGCACAAGGTGTTAATTGATACATTGCATGGTGTCCATATGAAAGTAATGGACAATATTGTACGGTAGATCACAATACACAAGTTTGTCTCTCCTCCCTCTTCTTAGTAATGTGTTGCTTTGTTAAATGTAGCATGTTGATTGGTTAGGGAAACAACGAGACTCAAAGAGAGTTACAGTCAGAGTTTATTCAGGTTAAATGGTGCTCACAGCTCATCCACAGCGCAGCACAATTTCCTTCACTGACGTAAACGTCTGTATGATCTGTACTCACCTGTGGAAGTTAAGTAAAGTTCAAAAAGATCCCTTGTCATGTGAAGTGTTTTCTACCCACGTACATCCAGACGTGAGCTAGGCTGCTAGCTGCTAACTCACTTTAAAAAGGTCCAAACAGGACAATATAAAGGGAAGGACCATCCAAACAAACAAAAAAGAAAAAAAAAAGGATTTAATTAAACTTAAAATATATAAAATGTATTTGAAAGATAGAAACTATCATTTCTATGAATTGCAAAGCATCCAGAGGAGCAGATTGGACTGTGTGGGTGGATGAACGTAGGTTTGTTTGTTTGTTTGTTTTTCTTTCTTTTTTCATTTATTTTACTGTAATTAACTGTCTGTACATAGTAGAGTACACTCTTGGCCTTGGAAATAGAATCATGACAAAATAATCCCAACTCAAGGTCCACTTACTAACATTTGGGAGATTTCAACTCTATCACATTGTCTTCATCATCGAATGGAGCAAACCATGATATAGGCGAAAACTCCAGAAAAATATAGTGCAGCAAGTGAGCCTTGAGTTTAGTAAAAAAAACTGAATCATAATACAAAAGTTTGTGTATGAGCATAGCGTCAAGATATAACAACAAAGACTGATTAAAGAAGCAATGTGGGAACTGCCTCGCAATCAGAAATTAATATTTTCTCATAAAAGTAAACATTAACATCGTTTTACTACAAAAACAGAACAAAAACAATTAATTTAGTCTCGTTAGACTCCCACAGGTGTTTTAACTTATGTTGCCTGATTAGACTGGACTTGATTGATATCAAGTCGTTGTGTCTGTTGGGGCGGGGTGGTTTTACACCTTAGTCAGTCTTATTAGTGACTGGAGTCCTGTGACATTTTCCACAACATAGATCCACTCACCTTAAACCTGAGCAGAGGTCCAAAATAACAACGCCTGTGGCTTTTTGCCTGCCATTTAACTACATTATATTGTAAGTTTTAATTATTTTGGTTGTTGTTGCACATAAACAGTTAGATAGTTATATAAAGTTAGGTCATTGGTGTTAGGTCTAAACTGTGTTGCTGCGTACACACAGTGCATACATTGGCCATCACTTATCTGATGCCCCTGTCAGGTTTTCCTGCAAAGGGACAACTCACGGCTTCTTAAGTTGGGGCACACCATATTACAGTGAGAACGGAAATTAAAACTTGGTGCACCAGAGTGTGCAGACACATGACACAATGACAGCTGAAAGCTACACCTACATGTTTTGTGGTAACACAATCAAATAAGGATTGTTGTTGTGACATGTTCAAGTTAACCTCACATTACTGAGAAACATCAATATTGACATATGTTTTATTAGCGCATGTGTGACTTCTCATTTACAGTTACAATTATTTGCCACTCTCTCTGCATACGCTGCCTACATCCAACCCCGCTGTGTTAATAATAACAATAACAACACCTCTTTGCAGGCCCTTAAACCTTGTTTTTTGCATACCTGGCTGGCAAAGAAATGCCCACTGATTTTCACAAAGACCTCGTCGTTCTCGTCTGGAGTTTGGTCCCGCGGTACGATGACCTCAGCACTCGTAAGGTTCTGCAGCTCGTTTACCTGGAAAAAAAGACTCCAGAGATCATCATCTGGCTTTGAATTTCACCTCCAGCCTCTCTCACAAAACTCACTGACAGACAAAGTATCAAATTATGGTAAACTGAAACACTCACACTGATGAAACCAAGCAAACCAGGAGCTATTTGATGTACAGCAATCACTGGTGTGAAGCGTGTTTACTGATCTTTTAACTGTGTAAAAATGTTTTTATGTAGATTTACATAAAAGCTGGGTAGCCTTTTAGTAAGGAGATTGTTGTTAAAGCTGTATTTTTACCAAGCAAATACTAAACTCTAGATGTGAAGTGGAAATTAAAAAATGAAAAGACAAACAACAGCATTGTCCTTTTTGCTGTGACTTTTACATTTGGCCAAAATGTCTAATAAATATGAAGAAAAAAACAGTAAAAATTCTAAATTATTCGAAAAGGACAATATAATTCTCACAGTTAATGTAACAAAAGTAAATTAGCATCCGCTCACCGTCTTGCCGCCTTTACCGATGACCCTGCCGGCTGCAGTTGAGGGAACCTTGATGTGCGTCTCCAGTTTGACCTCCTCCTTCGCTGTGAAGAAGTTCTCCTCTTTCAGCTTCCCAAATATCCGACCTTGGGCCTGGAATAAAGAGGAGGGAATGAGGCAAGGAGAGACTGGGGAAAATGGGGACACAGTGATGCACTGCTGTTTACTATAACACATGACATATTAAATAATCATGATCATTTATGAATTTTAAATTGCAGTTTTATCCCCACAATGGTTGCATACAATTCCAGCATAAAACAATACAATTTTACTGCATATTCATACACATATTCATAGTGTTATTACCTTAAACTGAGCCTCTGGGGTTCCAGTAATGATAACCATCCTCTCAGTAACATCTGGGTTCTCAGCTGGGGCAATCTGACACACACACAGACAGACAGACAGGTTATGGAGACAAATAAGGAGAAAACATGCCAAAAAACTGGCGATCTTGCTCTGTGGGCATTCAGTGCATGTAACCCCTGAATCATCTGAGAAGTCTGCAAATTCTTACAAATGAATGATTCGCCTTAGATGACGTTTGGAGAATTCACTGACCAGTTGTCCCACCTCTCCAGACGCGGGGCTTGAGGGGCTTTCTGAAATGCTCAGCTCACTAGTCATCTCCTTTTTTTGTTTGTTTTTGACCATAAATAACTAACATCCTCAGCGGTGGTCAATGAAGTGGGGCTGACTCAGACAGCACTTACTGCCAACCTGATGCCAACTCGCTCAATGTGAAGCTTTAAAAAAAAAAAGTGATGCAGGTTTAGCTCTGTTGTGATCAGAGACGATTTGACCACCTTTCTCTCCCTCCTCATTGAAGCGCTCTGTTGACATATGCTATATAAACTCACCTTGATGGAAGCTCCAGCGAAGTGGGCGAGTTGTTTGATGTGCTGGCCCTTCTTGCCGATCAGGGCCCCGACTGCCTGAGTTGGAATAAAGAGGTAGACAACCTCCTGCTCTTGAGCCTGTTGCTGAGGGAAGAAAAGACCACACAGAAAATATATTTCACTACACTTTTACTAAACTCTACTACTGCTGGTGGCACATGCAAAACTTGCTTTATATAGAAATTTTGATTGAACTCGTCACATACTTGAAGAGCAGCCGAAAACGATGACACCACATGCAAGGAAAGCTAAATTGAGCTCACTTCGAGGGTTTTCTCTTTGGGTAAACATCCCGCGCTGGCTGGGTCTGAACGGAATATTTCCTATTAAGGCCGATGGTTGCCCTATGTTTTTGTTTTTCTTAGCATGGTAACACTCGTGTACTCGAGGTTTATAAAGTGAATTTTTACGAGCCACAGGACAACTCTGGGCTGAAAAGTTCCCCTTCCAGAAATATTTGTGGTGTTCTGGTGACTGGGTGATGGTACGCAGGAATGCAAGACTCACTGTTTCAGCATAGACATTGACTGAGAGGTTGTCATGGTCTGTTATTTATGTCTCCCTCTCGATTACTCTTATATCTTCTTCTTTTTCTCTAGTACCTCCCATTCAAACCATAAGTCACTTGCAAAGAGAGACAAACGGTAACATCCAAAGCTTGAGTCCTGAGCTTCTTGTGTGCTTTAAATGCCCTCAACTATTTAAATAATTATCTAGAACCACACAAAAAACAAGAAATTAGTGGTTAAGTCTCTGATCACCAAGGCAACATTGGCTAGAGTGCAGATTTTTAGGGAACATACTGAGTGCTGGTGGGTGATGGCACTTGCTGGAGGAACCCCGTACAGGCCACTGAGATGTGAAGAGTGACTCTGAAAGTGAAGTGACAAGCAGGCCGATCAGATGGCACACAAACACACACATTCACAGACACATGCACGTACACAACTCAAGCTCTTATTAGGGGGAATTTCAGGGCATAAACTCGCAGTGAATCACACACTAACTTTCTTGACTATGAAGCACGCAAATACATTCTCACACACTGTCTCACACCACTTTGGCTCGACCTCTTCAGGCAATGAGTGGAGACTTTGTTTTACAGACAAACTGACTCATCTCTGGAGAAGACAGGGGAATTCTGGTTGTTTCAAACTGTGTACAACACAATGCAGGAAGACCTGAGTCAACACGGTATTGTTTTTTCAAAAAGCACTTCAGGGGGAACCTGGTTTACCATGTGTTGAAAACAAATTGCTTTATCAAGTCAAAACTAATCCCTGCTGGAGATGTTCATAGCTGCGCTGGGCGGGTAAAACCAACAGTGATACAGTCTTTCCAAAAGAAGCATTTTCTAAAATCTTTTTTTCCCCACCTTTTATGGTTGTGTGTGTGCAGAGGTGGTGTGTTTAAGAAAAAAGAGCATACTCACTAAGAATGGGTTGTATCCTGCTGGTGCCACAGGGGGCACTGCACCGCGTGGTCCAGCAGCAGGGGGCAGCACCGGCAGACCAGAGGAGAAGATGCCCAGAGCATTCAGGTTCAAGCCTGGGATCAGGTTAGCTTGTTGCTGTGCAAAAGAAGGGAAGCAGTTACAAATGACATTAGAATTTAATTAACGCTCATCATTTTTGTTTTTAAACAATTTTCAGAATATGCTGATTTGTTTTTAAAGGAGCAAATCAGTTTAAACTGATTTAAACTTGGATTTTACGTCCTTTAGGCATCCAAAAGTCTCCTGCTAGAAGAGGACACTGACTACTACAATTTACAGAAAATCTACTGCTAATCAGAGTGAGAAGTAGAAGAATGAAAATGACTCCTTCAAAGTAAGTAATAGTTTTACTTGTTTTTTTTTATAATAAATAAACAGCAATAATTTCTTGTTGTTGTAATAAAATCAGGGAAAAGATCAATCTAACTGTGAATGTGGTCACAGAAATAAACCTAAATGAAATATGTCCTGCAAAATGTAAAGTGTTGATCAAGGAATTTTTCAAATAATTAATCAAGCAAAAATAATAAACTTTTCTGGTTCCAGTTTCTGAGATATATGGTTATTCTAGTTTCTCAGATATAATATATACAAATATAAGTATTTCCTGCTTTTCTGTCTTTTCTATTATACTAAATTGAACATATTTGGGTTTTCATTGGTTAAACAAAAGGAATTTGAAGATATCAACTTCATGTCAAATTACTGTATTAAGAAAATAATCATTAGATTATCTGACAGATACAATAATAGTTGTTGCAACCCTTGTTGTGTGAACTGTTCCTTTACTGCCACTAACTCCATTACATAAAAGTGTTACTTTTAGCTAAATAAACCATTTATAAACCATTGGACAATTTGAAAAATACATTGTCACAATGCTGAAACAGGGCTGTTTTTCTTAGCTCATGAAAACTTGAGGTTTTTGGAGGTCAGTCAGGTTTGCTGTTGTAATGGCACGACAAAAATATTTCTCCCTCAAAGTCAAGTCAGCTATTCTGGTTTCATGGCCGTGAAGAGACACGCGGTCTGCTTTCACTTCCTTGTTCCCTGAGGGCTTTTTGTGTAATATCCACAGTGTCACGCTAGATGGCCCTCACCGCTTGCTGTAGAGGCAGCGCTCAACCCGACAGGTGCCAGAACTGCTCTGCTCTCACCAGCCAGTACAGTTTAACCGCATGCTGCGTGATACTTCTCCTTGACTATATCTGAGCCAATATTTGGACAATCAAAAATGAGAAGGAAAAAATTGGCAGCTCGTGTGAAAGTAGTAAAAAAAAAAAAGCAGACGGGAGGCTGATTGGGAATCTCCCCACGAGTGAGCATCACAAAGAGCATCATCACGGTGAATGCAGTCACTTTATCAGCTTTCATCTACATTACTGGAATGCAATAGGGAGCATGCAGTGTGTGATGTATCATCACTATCTCTCTTCCTCTGAAGCTGACCTCTCTGCGCTGCAGCACTGGTGATGTCATCGGGGCAGTGTGAAAGAGGAGCTGGGTGAGAGAGCGCAGCCTACAGATATCAGATGGATGCTGGGAAACGCAGTGTGTTACAGCAGGAACACAGACACACAGTGGGGAAGTGAGCGTGAGTCAGAGGCTCCGTGGAACAGGCACACACACACACACGTACGCATACATGCTGTGCTCAACCAACCGACTCACTGATGAGCTATTCGGTGATGGTTTACTGTTATCCATTTACCAAGCAGACAACGCACGTATTACTAATGCTGCGGGTAACGTGTACTGAATGGGGAGGCAATGTTATCCCGCCGTATATCATCACCCCTCTCTGTTGTTCACCTGTCAGTCTATGTGAGTCAACCTGAGATCACACACACAAGTTCAAGAGACCTGCAGATGGTAACCTTTAAGCTTACGTTTATAGCAGCAATGTCATTCTCGTAGGCTTCCCGCAGTTTCTTCATGATCTCCGCCTCGGCTTTACAACACGCCTCCAAGCTGCCCTTCACCGTGATGGTCCTCTCAGGGTTGTAAATGGTTAAGTCTTGTAACCTGCAAGGGAGATCACACACACACACACAAACACACACAAATGAGTATATGCATATGCAAATACAAATACAGAGAAGAGGCACACTCATATTCTGCTCACATATTTTCTCAGAAAGTGGAGGTGACTTAACTGATTTTAATTGCATTTCCTGCCTTTGTGTTTATCCAACTTAAGTGTTATTTAAGGCTGCATTGTCAACATAAATAACATTAAAATATATTGCTTAGCTAACAGGCCATTTAGTACTGCATTTCCATAAAGTTGGAGGAAACAAATTAAAAAAGTAGAATGGTTAAAAATGAAGCAGCAGAGGACGAGATAGTCTTACTTTGTTCCTTAGTTTGGGACAAGTTCCAAAACACTTCCCATAATGCAACTCAATAGGGTTTCACATCATATGGGATGGTTGGTAGAGATGGGAAAGATTCCCATGTTGACTTGCGTGCATTTGCGCCATGTTTGATTACAGAGCTGGTTGTGTACGAGTTAAAAATATATTATATCCATTAAAATTGGGTTTAATTACATTGAGCGACGGACTTTGGCTGACGTGAGACGTCTTTGTTTGCATGATTTTTGGATACTTACATGTAATTAAGTCAGATATATCAAAAAAACCTGACTTTCCCAATCATAATTAACGAGCTGGTTGACATGAACACTGTTTAAACGTCAGAAACTTATAATTACCAGCAATTACTGCTGGTGTGCCCCTTTTGAACACATAGTTTGTATCTCTCAAGGTCAGGATGTAAATATCAGCACGTGCAAACAGTTGAAATTGATTCCTTGCTTATTATTATTTTAAGAGAAAAACTGCTGTACAAGAAGCGTAAGTGTAAAACACTGCAGCAAGATATTGAGCTTGAGCTTCATTTTGCGAGAGAGATCATTTTGCGCAACAGCCAAATCAAGTCTATCTGAAATCAAAACCACAGTTATGCACAAAGTTAGGTAAAAAACAACAAAAAAAGGTGTTCTCTGACTGATTTTGCAGCTATAATGCTAACTTACTGCAGATTTGGTAACATACATTTTTTTATCACCTTCACAAGATACTTATACAGCAGGTGTATAAGTGTTATTACACAAATCAAATAAGGTATCTCTCCATAAAGCAGCCTGGAAGTTGTAAAAACGATAACAACTTTGAGCCTTTGAAGAGGAATCAATCTATTCTCTCCTCAGCGTCGGCGGACGTGGAGGTCACACTGCAAGGATTTCACAGAACCATCAATATTGAATGTACTGTTTGCCTTCTCTCAAAAGGACCATCTCCCATCTCTCTCTTTATCTCCTTCCTCCTCTCCGTATCTTCCTCAAGCCTCATTACGTCCTCAGAGCTCACAGAGACAGAGCAATTCATTAGCCCTCAATGAACGAAGGTTGGTGAGCACGGCCCGTTAAATGGGGTGTAACCACCACCTCTCTAATATCATGTTCTGGAGTGAAGGAGCTGTAATCACCTCTTCACGTTTGTTCTCTAACAACTCAGTTAAGTGAAACCACAAGCTGAGAGGCTAATAAGCACGGGTGTGGGAAGGTGTGGCAGCAGGACGGTGAAATCACTGCCTGTTATTTGTGCTTTGGTTTCAATTTGGTAATAGTCAAAACTGTCTTTTGGAAGTATAGTCGTACGAGCGCTCACGTCAAAGGGTTTTCGAAGAAGAAGAAGGCGGGAGAGGCGACTTACGAGGAGATGGTAATCTTGGTCCCTGTCTCCTCCTCAATCTTCTTCAGGTTGCGACCCTCCTTCCCAATCAGCCGGCCCACGAGGCTGTTGTGGGCGAGGATTTTCAGAGGGATGTCCTCCGTCCTGCACACACACACACACACACACACACACACAGGTTAAGCGAGAAGATAGAAAATACGTTGTGTGAAAGTCACTGATGTAGCGTGAGGAATGTCATGGTGTGATGGGGATGAACAAGAATGTGGATAGCTGCCCAGCTGGAAGTACTGCTGTAAGAATGTGGCACAATGTTAAGACATAAGCCTTTTATTTTTGTTTAGTATGCGATGGCTCCTTTTAATTTTTTTTTTTTTTTACAGATCTTCATAGAATCTTTACAAGAAAAAGTTCAATTTCACACTAGTTTGGAGCAGTTTTTTGTCCTTGGGCCCCCAAAAGTTTTCATGTTGCCTGCTGCAAGAAGACTGCTCACTGAAGTTTACAATAAACAAGGTACTGTTGCAACAAACAGCTCAGAAAATGCTTCTGGTAATAGGGGATGAAGATGAAGGTGAATGATCTGTTGTGCTCGAGTCCCTCTGAGCAAGTCAAAACAGTAAAACTGTAATGTTCTTCCTGGGAAGAACCATGTAATTTGACAGTAATTAAAGGTCAAATAGTGACAACTGACATTTCCAGTTAATTGATTCTAATTAACTGCTAAACTAGCATAACCAGCTCAACTGAACATGCACATAAAATATGTCTACGGGCAGGCATGTAATTTAACATATATAAAGAATAAAGCTCTTAATACTAATGTTGCTTTGTCAAAGCCAAACATAAGTTGAAAAAATTAAATAAAATGTTACATTCAGTTTAACCAGAAGAACATGTTTAGTGTCACAGCTGAGAACTGGCAGTATTCCTCTTGCTACTGAGGCTGGTAGATTTAAAAATATAGATTTTGCAAGCTGTGTAATTTGGGTGAAGTGCAAAGTGAGTCCCATTTTCTTTTGTACTTCACAAATTATAATGATTTAAGAGAGTTAATTTCCCATGAAATGGCTCAAAACCCTGAAATGTTCTGGTGTACAGATGGGCACAAATTGAAATGGCTGTTCAATTTTGATGTTTAAGTCTTTAACTTTGTCTGAAAAGCCTGGAGAAAGAGGCAAGATTAACTATTTAACTAATATTTATTCTAATTTCTCCAGTATTATATAGTAAATGGGTTTTTCTGCCACCGAATTAGGTTTTTTTGTAGACAATTAAGGCCCGAAGATCTGGTAGTGAGGGTTAAGCGTAGTTGTATGCGATAAAAGCTTTATTTATTCATTCAATCAATAATAATTATAATCATAATAAATATTTAATAGGGATAAATGGAGCCATTCTTTCTAAGAAATTTCTCTGGAAATCATTGACTGCTTTTAAACTCAAAACAAGTAAACAACTACTTTAAATAACAGCAATAGAACAACAAATTACATAGTTCTTTCAGGATATTATTAGAAAAAAAAGAAAAAAAAGAAAAAATTTTATACAAAAAACAAAAAACAATGCAGTGTATGTATGTATGTGTGTAGGTGGGGATGGTATAGATACAGAAGGTCAGGGACAATTGTGGGGTATAAGTGTGAATTAAGTTTGTGGTGGGGCAGGGTGGAGGGTAACCAGATGCTGGGGGTTTCTTTTGGGTGTGGTCACAGACTTTGTGGTGGTAGTGTATGTGTGTTTGTGTGTGTGTGTGTGTGTGTGTGTGTGTGTGTGTTCGGGAGGGGCACTTTATAATCTGTAAGTGT